GATCATCCATGCAGACTTATCATTCCAATAACTCTGTAAACTGACACTCTGATTGTGTAAACAAACACGCTCGATTCAACACAACTAAAGGAATATCGGATCTAAAAACCACAACTGTTTTACATCGCAAGTGCTGTCAGGAACTGGTTGTTACAACTACAAAGTCCTATGGTCGAGTACATCATATTTTGTGAGAATACACATAATGTGATCTAATTCTTCGGTCTTGAATACGACATAGCTGTTTTAACATAGATATTAAACCACACTTAGATGTGTAGACGAATATATCTATCAAAATAATCCCAGCTGTCAATCTTAGAACTCTCTCACCTTGCACCTTTAATTTTAGATTTGCTTAATTCTGCTTGTCAGTGGTGCTGCTGTTGATGTGATGAGCCCAACTGTGGTATACATACAATGCTTGTAAGGAGGGTCCCTCTTGTTGACAAAGGCTGTTATGTTAACACAGATTTATGTGTCGGGGAGGAAACAGTGAGGGGACATAATGATGTCATGCCCTGAAGTAGGTCACGCATTGCCCTGATTCACAGCAACAGGAAATGCCTGCTTGGTTACCTCATTACACCCCTCCCCCCTCCCTTTCTCTCAACAGTAGGGTGTATGGAGGGACATCAATATCAGATAAACGCGTGGTCACGGGTCAAGGTCAGCTGTACTGTTTCCGTCATAGTTTATCACATTTTTCATCGACTGATTTGAGCTTAGTTTAGTGACTGTATATCAATATGACGTTATTATTGAAGACATGCAGTGTGAGGAATCGACCCGAATAACGTGTGATAACTATCATTACTTGGCCACTCCGAGTAGTATATGTTTGTTTATTTGTCCACCAACGGCAAAAAGCCAGAACCGGTTGCTATGGATACGGACACTTTCCGTTTTGTTGATGGGAACATATTCGCTAATTGGGCACCCAGTGCCCCCTGTCGGGGATATCTGGTGTTATGTAACCAGATCGTTCAGGAATGAACAGGCTTAATGAGTGAACTTTTTCATCCCGACGTACTTGTAGAGCTGTACTTGTAGAGCGCCGAATGAAAGCAGCCAAACATGGGTGTTCTTATATACATTAGATCCTACGCAGTGTTTGACATTTTTAGATTTCTTTCTGGATATTTCACTGTAAGCTTGATCTGTAGGTTTCAAACTGAAATTTTGGGCATTTCGTTTCTTTTTTAGATATTCATAATATTAAACGAAAGAAGGAAGAACATATTTGGTAGATCTGTTGATATAACAATGGACAACTTCAATGACGTCATACGTGGATGTGAAAGTATCCGTATGCGACGGGATATTTATATACGGAGATCCTCACGCCACTTTGACAGTCATAAAAAACGTGTATAAACTGGCATGAGGAAGATGAAGTACTACTTCATGTGGAAATATATATTAGTCACGACAAATCGGAAAGGCAGCATCACAAACAATTGAACATCATATTTATTGTGATCATTATTCATGAAATCGAGTAAACTAACGCTTTAGGAAGTAAACACATGATGCACTGATATGGTGCACACGTAACCTGGTTTCCTGACTATAGCGTGTCTATGAGTTGCCATGATATGCACGATGGCGCATCACGTGGATGGCACCGCATCATGCAGCCGGCTCCTCAGCAGTAGATAACAACCTCATGACGACTTAGGGCTTTCCAAATTTCAAGTCATTGCGAATTATTTTTAATACCCGTTGGAGAATTTTAGCTCGGTAGGGCTGGTAGTGAGGGGTGGGGGTGGATGGGTGGGGGCATACTTGATAATGTTGCGGGGAAGGGTACATGCGGGCATACTTACCGTAACCTTGACGTAAAAAAGGGGATCGTGGGCATACTTACCGTACCTTGACGTATAAAAGGGGATCTTCGGCATACTTTCCGTAACCTGACGTATAAAAGGGGATCGTGGGCATACTTACCGTAACCTGACGTATAAAAGGGGATCGCGGGCATACTTACCGTACCTTGACGTATAAAAGGGGATCTTCGGCATACTTACCGTAACTTGACGTATAAAAGGGGATCGCGGGCATATTTACCGTAACTTGACGTATAAAAGGGGATCTTCGGCATACTTTCCGTAACTTGACGTATAAAAGGGGGATCGTGGGCATACTTACCGTAACTTGACGTATAAAAGGGGGATCGTGGGCATACTTACCGTACCTTGACGTATAAAAGGGGATCTTCGGCATACTCACCGTAACTTGACGTATAAAAGGGGGATCGCGGGCATATTTACCGTAACTTGACGTATAAAAGGGGATCTTCGGCATACTTTCCGTAACTTGACGTATAAAAGAGGATCGTGGGCATACTTACCATAACGTAGGGGATCGTGGGCATACCCACCGTGACGTATAAAAAGGGGATCGTGGGCATACTTACCGTAACTTGACGTATAAAAGAGGGGATCGTGGGCATACTCACCGTAACCCGACGTATATAAAGGGGGATGGTGGGCATACGTACCGTAATCCTGACGTATAAAAGGGGATCATATAACCGTAAACGAGGGGGCATACATATACCGTAACCTGACGTATAAAAGGGGATCGCGGGCATACTCCTACCGTAACTTGACGTATAAAAGGGATCGTGGGCATACTTACCGTACCTTGACGTATAAAAGGGGGATCGTGGGCATACTTACCGTAACTTGACGTATAAAAGGGGGATCGTGGGCATACTTACCGTAACTTGACGTATAAAAGGGGGATCGTGGGCATACGTACCGTAACTTGACGTATAAAAGGGGATGGTGGGCATACGTACCGTAACTTGACGTATAAAAGGGGATCGTGGGCATACTCACGTAACTCCTGACGTATAAAAGGGGGATGGTGGGCATACGTACCGTAACTTGACGTATAAAAGGGGGATCGTGGGCATACGTACCGTAACTTGACGTATAAAAGGGGGATCGCGGGCATACTCACCGTAACTTGACGTAGGGGCCGAGGGACAGAGCGGCAGGACGAATAGATGCAGGATTGTGTGGTGTCTGGGATAGAGAGGCAGGATTGTGTGGTGTCTGGGATAGAGAGGCAGGATTGTGTGGTGTCTGGGATAGAGAGGCAGGTGGGTGTCTGTGGCAGGACTGTGTGGTGTCTGGGATAGAGAGGCAGGACTGTGTGGTGTCTGGGATAGAGAGGCAGGACTGTGTGGTGTCTGGGATAGAGAGGCAGGACTGTGTGGTGTCTGGGATAGAGAGGCAGGATTGTATGGTGTCTGGGATAGAGAGGCAGGATTGTGTGGTGTCTGGGATAGAGAGGCAGGATTGTGTGGTGTCTGGGATAGAGAGGCAGGATTGTGTGGTGTCTGGGATAGAGAGGCAGGATTGTGTGGTGTCTAGGATAGAGAGGCAGGATTGTGTGGTGTCTAGGATAGAGAGGCAGGATTGTGTGGTGTCTGGGATAGAGAGGCAGGATTGTGTGGTGTCTAGGATAGAGAGGCAGGCAGGGATTGTGTGGGTTGTGTGGTCTAGGATAGAGAGGCAGGGGATTGTGTGGTGTCTGGGATAGAGAGGCAGGACTGTGTGGTGTCTGGGATAGAGAGGCAGGATTGTGTGGTGTCTGGGATAGAGAGGCAGGACTGTGTGGTGTCTAGGATAGAGAGGCAGGACTGTGTGGTGTCTGGGATAGAGAGGCAGGATTGTATGGTGTCTGGGATAGAGAGGCAGGATTGTATGGTGTCTGGGATAGAGAGGCAGGATAGAGAGGCAGGATTGTGTGGTGTCTGGGATAGAGAGGCAGGATTGTGTGGTGTCTGGGATAGAGAGGCAGGATTGTGTGGTGTCTGGGATAGAGAGGCAGGATTGTGTGGTTTCTGGGATAGAGAGGCAGGATCGTGTGGTGTCTTGGATTGGCTCGAACTGATGGAAGGTGTGTCAGCTCCATACCAGAGGTCGAGTCTTACAATTACACTAACGCCATCACTGTGGTCACTGCATCACCGGTTTAAACAGTATTAATGTCAACTTCCCATGGCAGGCAAACTGCAGACAGGGGCCTCTCGGGCTTGAGATGGTGTCACTGATTTTTGTTACTACATCTGATTGGTCTGCATAAGTTCAGTGTTGATCAATTCAGGCGGTGGAAGGCAGTTAAAACTCTTCTCATTAAATGTAAAATATATTGTGTTCTTACATACTCATAATAATATCAATAACAAAATTGTTTCCCTTCCGTGTTTTGTTTATCATGACTAGTTCCAATAAGACTGGTTTATACTTATAACTACACACAATCAGACTCTGTTGTTTGCTTCAGTGTGTACTGAGATTATGTATAGATTAAGGTGGCTTCAGTGTGTACTGAGATTATGTATAGATTAAGGTGGCTTTCAGCAATCTTCCAGAAATAGGACTGCGAGGCCATACTGGAAAAGGGCTTACAGCAATCAGACCGCGATACTAACAAACACCAGTTCGTCAGTCCCGACAGTGATCATTATCTCTAAGAGTACAGGCCGTCTATGTCTTGCATCACCTGGCCTCGATGTATTGCATGAGAATATACCAAACGTCAACCAGAGCACCGCATCATGCGAATTAACTTATATGACTAAGATCTAACAATATATACAATTTTCGACTTGCGATTGTCTACCCTAAAGAGCACTGACTAATGCTCGACTCGTCACTAGGCGTCAGATAAACGCGCAACAAAATGCCCTTAATTTTGCTATTCTCGTTTCCTGCATTTGTCATGAGAATATATTCAAAGCCAGCGCTTCAGCCGCAGGCATAAAAAGGGAAATCCCCTACACAGACGCAATCTGACCACGTGGGATCCACTCAGGGACTTTCCAGCTAAGAATAGATTTGAGAAAGTCCTGAGCCGGATTATTTAAGCTGTGCTCTCGACAGACCGTCTGTGTTCTGCATTGTAGCGTTGACAGTTTACTCTACCCTTCACACTGCGCTGCATTACGACGCCCTTAACTCTTGCTTCTACATTTCCAACAGCGGGTCAGACAAAACCGAATTCCTGGAGACAGAATGACGTGGATTCTGCTGATACTGAGCTTGCTCCTGGCGTCCTGCCCGTGGTTCTGTTGGTGCCGGTCTCGCCTGGAAGTCACTTCTTTGTATTCTGGAGGTCTGTGTCCAGCCACCTGATACCCCGGACAGAGCACACCCAGCACAGCGTCAAGGACCTCCTGTTGGACTACGTGAGTACATGCTATGTCATACAGTGTGTGGTAGCCAGGGTGTGTGTACATCACCTGACATGTGCTGTAGTTAGAGACACGCTTCGCTTTATCGTATATCTCTGGTTCTAACTACGTAGCAGTCCTCTACCTGGGCACTTTGGGTTTATATTTTCATACTGAGGTCATTTATGTTTATAGTACGTTGTTGTCATAGCAACACGATATGCGTGGAAAGCCACTGGCGCTATCGCTCTTGGTCAAATTCTTGGGATCAAGGAAAATACACGAATCACTGCTGGGTTTGCTGCCATCCATCCTCCAAACAGCAGCCAGTTAGGCGTCGAAATCTCATCAATACTCACTGAATTTACATGGCGGTACTGATATTGCGGTACTGACACAGTGGAATAACCTGGCGGTACTGATATCATGGTACTGACACAGTGGAATGTCTTGACGGTACTGATATCATGGTACTGACACAGTGGAATGTCTTAACGGTACTGATATCATGGTACTGACACAGTGGAATGTCTTGACGGTACTGATATCATGGTACTGACACAGTGGAATGTCTTGACGGTACTGATATCGTGGTATTAACACAGTGGAATCACTTTACGGTTCTGATACCATGGTAGTGACCTAGTGGAATGTCTTGACGGTACTGATACCGTGGTACTGACACAGTGGAATGTCTTGACGGTACTGATATCATGGTATTGACACAGTGGAATGACTTGACGGTACTGATACCGTGGTATTGACACAGTGGAATGACATGGCGGTACTGATACGTCGTACTGACGCAGTGGAATAACTTGATGGTACTGATATCGTGGTAGTGACCTAGTGGAATGTCTAGTGACATGATGGCAGTGACACCGTGGTAGTGACATGATGGTAGTGACACCGTGGTAGTGACATGATGGTAGTGACACACTGGTTGTGACATGATGGTAGTGACACAGTGGTAGTGACATGATGGTAGTGACACAGTGGTAGTGACACAGTGGTAGTGACATGATGGTAGTGATACCGTGGTAGTGACACAGTGGTGGTACTGACATGATGGTAGTGACACCGTGGTACTGACACCTTGGTAGTGACACCGTGGTAGTGACATGATGGTAGTGACAGTAGTGACACAGTGGTTGTGACACAGTGGTTGTGACATGATGGTAGTGATACCGTGGTAGTGACATGTGACACCGTGGTAGTGACACCGTGGTAGTGACATGATGGTAGTGACACAGTGGTTGTGACACAGTGGTAGTGACATGATGGTAGTGACACAGTGGTAGTGACACAGTGGTACCGTGGTAGTGACATGATGGTAGTGACACCGTGGTAGTGACATGATGGTAGTGACACAGTGGTTGTGACATAGTGGTAGTGACATGATGGTAGTGACATGACTGGTTGTGACACACAGTGACAGTGACACAGTGGTGTGACATGATGGTAGTGACACAGTGGTAGTGACACAGTGGTAGTGACACAGTGGTAGTGACATGATGGTAGTGACACCGTGGTAGTGACACAGTGGTAGTGACATGATGGTAGTGACACAGTGGTAGTGACACAGTGGTAGTGACACAGTGGTAGTGACATGATGGTAGTGACACCGTGGTAGTGACACAGTGGTAGTGACACCGTGGTAGTGACATGATGGTAGTGACACCGTGGTAGTGACATGATGGTAGTGACACCGTGGTAGTGACACCGTGGTAGTGACATGATGGTAGTGACACCATGGTAGTGACATGATGGTAGTGACACAGTGGTAGTGACATGATGGTAGTGACACAGGTACATGATGGTTGTGACACCGTGGTGTGATACAGTGATTGTAGTGACACGAGTGGTAGTGAAATGATGGTAGTGACACCGTGTTAGTGACACAGTGGTAGTGACATGATGGTAGTGTACCGTGGTAGTGACATGATGGTAGTGATTACACCGTGGTAGTGACACAGTGGTTTATATAACGGTCAGTGACGGGTTACACTTCTGATAGTATGTATTTATTACGTATTACTAACATGTTAAACTACAATAGGTAAGTGTTATATGTGATACGCTATGGATAGTATGTTTCTTACGCTTATACCACAGGTGGTATGTCATAATGGTACTTGTTACTTGTTACACTAAGGTGGTATGGGTTACGTATCATACAGAGGTGATATGTGTTACGTGTTATGCTAGAGGTAGTATTGTTGCATGTTATACTGAGGCGGTATGTGTTACGCTTGTTACACTAAGGTGGTATGGGTTACGTATCGTACAGAGGTGATATGTTACGTGTTACGCTAGAGGTAGTATTGCTACATATTATACTAAGGCGATATATGTTACGTATCATACAGATATGACATGTGTTACGTGTTATAAATACTAAGGTGGTATGTGTAACGTGTTATTCTAAGGTGGTATATGTTACGTGTTACTCAAAAGGGTATGTGTGTTATACTACAGGTGGTATGTGTTAAGCTTGTTATACTAGAGATGGTATGTGTTATATTTGTTATACTGCAGGTGGTATGAATTATACTTGTTATACAACAGGTGCAATGTGTTATACGTGTTATACTACAGGCGGTATGTGTTATACGTGAATACTACAGGTGGTATGAATTATACTTGTTATACTACAGGTGGTATGAATTATACTTGATTTACTACAGGTGGTATGTGTTATGCTTGTTATACTAGAGGTGGTATGTGTTATACTTCTTATTCTACAGTTCATATGTGTTACAAGTTTTACTATAGGGGGGTATATGTTATAGTTGTTATACTACATATGGTATGTGTTACGCGTTATACTACAGGTGCTATATGTAAAGTTTGTTATACTACAGGTGATATATGTAAAGTTTGTTATACTAAATGTGGCATGTGTTATACTTGTTATACTAGATGTGGTATGTGTTATACTTGTTATACTAGATGTGGTATGTGTTATACTTGTTATACTACATGTGGTATGTGTTATACTTGTTATACTACATGTGTTATGTGTGTTATACATCACTATACTACATGTGGTATGTGTTATACTTGTTATACTACATGTGGTATGTGTTACATTGTTTTACTAGAGGTGGTATGTGTTATACTTGTTATACTACAGGTGGTATGTGTTATACTTGTTATACTACATGTGGTATGTGTTATACTTGTTATACTACATGTAGTATGTGTTATACTTGTTATACTACATGTGGTATGTGTTATACTGTTATACTACATGTGGTATGTGTTACCACATGTGTTTTTTACTAGAGGTAGTATGTGTTATGCTTTGTTATACTACAGGTGGTATGTGTTATACTTGTTATACTACAGGTGGTATGTGTTATAGCGTGTTTTAATACAGGTGGTGTGTATGTTTGTTATACCACAGGTGATGTGTTTAATACCACAGGTGGTATGTGTTAAGCGTGTTATACCACAGGTGGTATGTTATACTATACCAGGTGGTATGTGTTACTTGTATACCATTACAGGTGGCAGGCTAATTTGTCATGGTGTGTATAAGTGTTGTACTCTGTTATACTACAGGTGGTATGTGTTTAGTATGTATCTTGCTAAGAGGTGGTATGTGTTAAGCGTATACTACAGTTCACTATGTTCTAGGATCAAACGATGGGAGGCGTATGTTATAGTTGTTATACTACAGGTGGTGTGTGTTACTGGTTATACTACAGATGGTATGTGTTAAGTTTGTTATACTGCAGGTGGTATGTGTTATACTTGTTATACAACAGGTGCAATGTGTTATACGTGTTATACTACAGGCGGTATGTGTTATATTTGTGAATACTACAGGTGGTATGAATTATACTGCTTGTGCGATACTACAGGTGGTATAGGTATTATACTTGATTTACTTAGGTGGTATGTGTTATGCTTATTATACTAGAGGTGGTATGTGTTACACTTCTTATTCTACAGTTCATATGTGTTACAAGTTTTACTATAGGGCCTTATATGTTATAGTTGTTATACCACATATGGTATATGTTTTTGCGTTATACTACTACAGGTAGCCATATGTAAAGTTTGTTATACTACAGGTGATATATAATAAAGTTTGTTATACTAAATGTGGCATGTGTTATACTTGTTATACTAGATGTGGTATGTGTTATACTTGTTATACTAGATGTGGTATGTGTTATACTTGTTATACTACATGTGGTATGTGTTATACTTGTTATACTACATGTGGTATGTGTTATACTTGTTATACTACATGTGGTATGTGTTATACTTGTTATACTACATGTGGTATGTGTTACATTGTTTTACTAGAGGTGGTATGTGTTATACTTGTTATACTACAGGTGGTATGTGTTATACTTGTTATACTACATGTGGTATGTGTTATACTTGTTATACTACATGTAGTATGTGTTATACTTGTTATACTACATGTGGTATGTGTTATACTTGTTATACTACATGTGGTATGTGTTATACTTGTTTTACTAGAGGTGGTATGTGTTATGCTTGTTATACTACAGGTGGTATGTGTTTTACTTGTTATACTACAGGTGGTATGTGTTAAGCGTGTTATACTACAGGTGGTATGTGTGTACTTGTTATACTACAGGTGGTATGTGTGTACTTGTTATACTACAGGTGGTATGTGTTGTACTTGTCATACTACAGGTGGTATGTGTTGTACTTGTTATACTACAGGTGGTATGTGTTAGGTATCTTACTAGAGGTGGTATGTGTTAAGCGTGTCATACTACAGTTCATATGTGTTACAAGTTATACTATAGGAGGTATATGTTATAGTTGTTATACTACAGGTGGTGTGTGTTACGCGTTATACTACAGGTGATATATGTTAAGTTTGTTATACTAAATGTGGTATGTGTTATACGTGTTATACTACAGGTGGTTTGTGTAAGGTGTTTTACTAGATGTGGTATGTGTTATGTTTGTTATACTACAGGTGGTATGTGTTATGCTTGTTATACTACAGGTGGTATGTGTTA